TTGACCCCGTCTTTACTGTAAAATGCAGCAGTCAGACTAAAATAATTTCTAGGCCTAGCTTAACTAGTGTTTAAAATGAAATATTGCATGGCCTCACTCTAAATTTTTGTTTTCTTTTGAAATGATTTAACAAATGTATTTGTCACTTTACTATCCCCCTTCAGTCATTTTCATGATGTTTGTTGTCTATTTGTATAAACCTTCCTTCCCTCTTTCTCTGTTCAAGATTTGCCTTTACTCTCTATTACTGTTTATATCCTGTCTTCCTTTCCTTGCTCCTGGGACCTTACCCTTACCTTAACCGGGGAGCAGCTGTTTACAAAAAGAACTGTGACAGAGTTCTACTTTTGTACCTGTTGAGAGCAACAGCTCCTAAGGTAGTGACTGGCAGATAGGAATTCCTGTAGTCCCTCATCAAATACTAATGTGGAAAAGACGGTACAACTGAAGCCAGGGAATAGCGGTGGGTGGGTGGAATGGTGTGTTCTTGCAGTTCTGAGCCTTTTAAAACAACACTCTATTTGCTATTTCTTACTGTTTCTCTCCCTGCTATTATCCTGGGATGCAAATATTGGACAAAGGTATAATGAGGACTAGAATGATTTATGTGTGATGTTCCTTTCATTTAATGGGATAGCTACTTGTGGTAGATTTTTCTGCAAATAAATTTTTTGCTTGAAACATGACTTTTTTTGTTTTCTACCATGCTTCTGAACTGGCATCCTATAATTATTCTACTCTAAGACGTTAAAGGAGAAAGCCCAGGAAGTGTAATTTGGACAGCCTCTTCTATATATTATTTCATTTGTAAAACAGCACTGGAAAAACTGTTCTTAGCAAAGAAGCTAATTGATGAAAACATTTCTTACTGAGAATCTGAGGGAAGCAATATGTTCTCAGCCCTTTCAAACCGCAGAATAGATTTAGCCACCAATAAACAAAGGCCAGTTATTTATTTTCTATAGTACCCTTAGCAAGTCCTTGTTTTTCATAGCAGGGCTGTTTTTCATTCTTTATCAAAGCAAGTTTTTAAAACATAGCAGTTTTTTTTTTTTTTTCATAAGGAAAAGCCAGCTAAAACTATAGCAAGATTCTATAATGGATGTAAAGAAAACTTTCCCCTTCAATATTTATGTATATAGGTTTTTTTAAAGGGGGTAATTTATTTTAATAGAGAAATGCAGTTATATCAGATGTTCTGATGAGTAAACTTAATAAATAAATAAAAAAATAAGGCACATGAAAAGATTTTCACTAGTAAGAAGACAAAATTCTATTGTATTTACAAAACTGCAGTATTGCCTGTACCTGATACATGGAAGATACTAAATTTGGATAAATCAGTGAGTATTTTACTTTCCTTCACATTCTCCTAGGATAAAAAGAAAACATAATATTAAACAATGTTGAAAAAATTTAATCAGTACAGGCAATTTTCAGATTTCAATATTTCTAAAGTTCAAAAAGCAACATAAGTAGGAATTAAAATTCCTGAGCCATATGATATGAAACAGCAAAAAATTTGGCCTTTTTAATAAAATATCTTCAGCCTACTTTTATTTCAAATTTGAATGTGGGATAGAATAAAATGACATATTGCATAACATAAGAAATAAATAGCCCCCTCAGAAGGTATAAGGCCACCACACTGAAGAATTTGAGAACTGTTTTCAATTTTTGAACTATTCAGTTTCCTTCAGCATCTTTAATTTTTCCTTTTTCATCTTTTCTCTCTTTAAAAATTACCCTGTAGAATGGAGATGAGGTATAAGATTTTTAAAATCAATTTTGTTGAGAGATGTAGAATCCATGTGAAACAAGACTAGGGGTGGAAATGTAGATCATTAAAAGAGCATTTGCAATGAGCCCCTGACTCAATTCCCAGTACTACTACAACAAGGAAAAAAAGAAAGGAAAGAAGAAGAATAAGAAGGAGGAGAAGGAAGAGGAAGAAGAGGTGCCAGGAGAAGCATCTTAAACAAATATAAGTTTTGGTATATATTAATATCAATATCTACCAAGTATAGTAATGGTTCATTCTTCTAATCCCAGGTACTCAGGAGGCCAAAGATGTATGAATGCTCTGTAATGACCTGAAAGATGCTTAATATCTTTATTCATCAAGAAAATGCAAATTAAACCACAACGAGATATTATATGCAGGAAAATTCCAAATTCAAGGCCAATTTGAGCAATTATGTGAGAATCTTTCTCAAAATAAAAGAAATAAAAAGGGACTGGGGTTGAAGCTCAGTGTGAAAGTCCTGAGTTCAGTCCTCAGTACTACAAAAACTAACCAAACAAACAATAGTAACAAAAAATCCCAAAGGAAAAAAATGTGCCTTTTTTTAAGATTAAACTTAGATGAATATATTAACAAATGAATCAACCATGTAAGCACCAGCATAATTTTTGATGTCACCTAAAACATTTTCCTAGTTACTTCTTCCCAGGCAACTACTGGTTTGTCTTTTGTCACTACAGATTATGTGTGTTTCTCATAAATGGAACCACACATGCAGTCTTTTCTGTGTGTTTTCTTTCTTGCACTATAGTGATTTGAGATTCACGCATATTGTGGTGCATTCACACCATTAGTTCATTGTGTTCTCACATTGGTTTATTCCTTATTATTGAATATATTCCAGTACATGCAATTATTTATCTGCCTGTTGATGGACATTTAAGTTGTTTTAACTTCTGATTATTATGAGTAATCTGTAAGTATGTACAAGTGCTTACAGAGGTGTGTTTTTGTTTCTCCTGGAATTTGTGAAACCTAATGAATTTAACTATTTTTAAAAGTCCACAACAGATTTCCAATGTGGCTGTGCATTCTCACCAGCGGTGTAAGAGGTTCCAAGTATCTAACACTCTTGTCTACCCTTGATGTTGTCAACATTGAAATTTTAACTCTTCTAATGTATGTGATATAGTATCTCATTGTGGCTTAATTTGCATTTCCTTGATGAATAAAGATATTAAGCATCTTTCATGTCATTACTGAGCATTTGTGCATCTTTTATTGTGAAACCTTTATTCAAATAATTTGTCCTTTTTCAAATTGGGGTGTTTGTTCATTATTGACATGTAAGAACTCATTATATACCCTGGTTACAAATTCCTTGTCACATCTATGGGTCATAGCTATGCTCTCCTTGTGTTTTGTTTATAATTTATATTTTTGAGCAGTGTCTTTGAAAACAAAAGTTTAAAGTCCAGTGCACCATTTTTTTCTTTTATGGCTGTGGTTTTGCTGACTTACCAGAAAAAATATTTTCTTCCTCCAAAGTAATAAAAGTTTTTTTACCCATGAGTGAGGCTTGGCTTTTACTTTTCCTCAGTAGGTATCAGCACTATTTGTAAAAAAAAAAAAGTCAATATTTCCTCATTGAATTACCATGGTACATTTGTCAAAATCAACAGCATAAAATCACAAGAAGATACCATTTCACCCTCGCTGGACTATGCTATAGTTGGATAAGTGTTCCCCCAATGCTGATGTGTTAAAGACTTAGTCCCCAGTTAGGAGGTAATGGAACCTGTAGGTGGTGAGGCCTAGTGGAAGCAAGTGGGATCAATAGGGGCATGCCCTTGAAGGGATTATTGGGTCCCTCATGATTGGCCATGGTTGGTCCTGCTTCCTGGTCAACATGGGTTGAACAGGCCTTCACTAAATACTTCTGTCATGATGTACAAGCCCAAAGTAACCAGGCAAGTGATCATGGGCTGAAACTTCAAGACCATGAGCCAAAGATGCATCCTTCTTTAAAAATTCATTTATCTCAGCTATTTGTTACAATAACAGAAAGCTGCCTAACACATTTTGTCTATTATTATTATTATTATTATTATTATTATTATTATTTTAGTCTTTTTGAGGCAGGATCTCACTATGCAGTTCAGGCTGGCCTTGAGCTCAGTTTGTAGTCCAGGCTGATCTCAAACTTGCAACAATCCTCCTGCCTCAGCCTCCCAAGTGTTGGGATTACAGGCGTGCACCATCACACTCAGCTTGCCTGTAATTATTTTTAAAAGCATACCAAAGCAAACCAGAAAATGACAAATGTTGGTAAAGTTGTGGAAAAATCATAACTCTTATGCATTACTAGTGAGAGAGTAAAATAGTGTAGACACTCTTAAAGCTGTATGGTGGTGATTCAAAAAATTATATGTAAGATTAGGATATGATTAGATTAGCAGTTCAATTTTTGGGTACATTCCCCAAAGGATTAAAATCAAAGATTTAAAAAGATATTTGTGTACCCATGTTCATAACAGCATCGTTCCCAGTATCCAAAACATGGTAGCAAATCAAATGTCCATCAGTGAATGAGTTAACAAATAGAAGGTGGTATGTACACACTGTGGAATACTCCGCAGCCCAGAAAAGAGAGAAATTCTGGTGCAGGGTATGACATGAATGAGTCATGAATAAATTAAATTGACAAAACTAAGCCAATCACAAAAGGACAAATACTGTGTGATTCCACTACTATGAGACACTTAAGGCAGTCAAATCCCTGGAGCTAGAAAGTAGAACAGTAGTTGTCAGTGGTGTACAGGAAGAAAACTTGAAGTTAATACTTAGTGGGTAAAGAGTTTCAGCTTGAGATGAAGAACACGTTCTGGAGATGGGTGGTGGTGATGGCTACACAATAATATGAATATGCTCAGTGCCACTGAACTGCACACTTAAAGTAATGAAAATGGTAAATTTTAAGATTGACTGATTGTGCTAGAGGTCTAACCTAGGGCCTTGCACATGCTAGGCAGGTGTTTTACAACTGAGCAGCTCCCCAGGCCCAAGTTTTATATCTTTTACCATGATGTTTAAAAATCAAATGACCATCTTTGTGAGTTCTATTTCTGGACCATCTTCTGTTTCACTGGTCTGTATGCTGGTTTTTGCACCAATATCACACTAACTTGATAATTGCATCTTTTACAGTAAGTCTTGAAATGCGATACTATTAATTCTCTTTGTTCTTCCTTTTCAGAGTTCACTGGTATAAATCTTGCCTTTTCATAGAAATTTTAAAATCAACCTATTAGTTTCTGTTTCTCAAAAAGCCAGCTTGGAGTTTGGATGGCACTGGTGTTTCATATAACTATAGGGATCACTGGCAACAACAGTAAGTTTTTGACCTATGACCACACAATATTCTTCTGTTTTTAATGTACAAATCTTAGATATGTTCCCGCCTCCTTTACTTTCTGAAAGAGTTCAAGGTTGATATTATTTATCTTTTAAGAGATTGATAGAGTTTACCAGTACATAGATCTGGGCTTGAAATTTTCTCTTTGATGTTTTAAAAAAATTGATGTAATTAACACAACAGATGTAAAACTACTCTGATTTGCTCTTGTTCTTGAGTCATTTTTAGTAAACTGCATCATCCAGAAATGTGTATATTCCATCTATGATGCTGAATTCTTGGCATAAAGTTGATTATGTATAATATATTAAATCTTTGTATAATACACTTTTTGGCATTTTTATGTTTTCAACCCCATTTATATTTATATTAAAGAAGGATAAATGAAGACATTTCTAGGTAAATGGATGCACCTTGAGACCTTACTTTGAGCGAAATAAATTAGACATGTTTAAATATCACATCAGCCAGGAGTGGTGGCATACCCAGTACTCGGGAGGCTGAGGCAGGAGGATCATTGGGAGTTCGAGGCCAGCCTGGGCTACAAAGTGAGCTCAAGCCCAGCTGGAACTGCATAGTGAGACCCTGTCTCAAAAAAAAAAAAAAAAAAAAAAAAAAAAAAAAAAAAAAGACAAAAAAAAATCAATAAACATCATATCATTTCTCTTATGTGAGAAACCGGAAAGGTAAATAAGGACCAAAATGTGTAATAGATGTTGGGAAGTGAGAAGAAAATCTTCCAATGGGAAGCGGGACAGGGGAGGGGAGAGGGGAGGAAAGAAGGGAAAAGAAAAAGAGAATAGAAGGAAAAACTGGAAACAAAGCCTTTGTAAATGAGGAAGGCAAGAAGAGTTGAAGGGAGGGCAAGGGAACTGGGATAAAAGAAGAATCAAGATATATTATGTGCAGGTACAAATTCTCTATAATGAATGTGATCTTACTTATATCAAAAAGCACCAATAACATTAATTTTTAAAAATGTGAGCTTTTTCTAGACAACACATAGCTCAGGCTGGCCTTGAACTCACTATGTAGCTCAGGCTGGCCTCAAATTGATGGAAATCCTCCTGCCTCAGCCTCCTCAGTGCTGAGATTACAGGTGTGCATCACCACATCTGCATCAGTTTGACAATTTCTGCCTTTAAATTATAAAATTTGTATATTTTATCTTTAATATACTCATCAATGTGGTTAGATTTAAGCATACATCCTGATATTCTTTTATTTATATCATCTGTTCTGTCTTAAATTTCTTTGCCTTTTTTCTCCTTTGGATTGAGTTGTATTCTATTTTTTCTCTGAGGGTATTGTCATTTTAATAGTTCCCCAGAATTTATAGTTTAGCTTGTCATTCTAGCTTCAATAATATTTTAATAGTTCATTCATTATAAATTGCTCTTAACACACGCTGCTTTCATTTCCCTTCTGCCATTGTTTGATCTTTTGCATCTACATGTGCCATATTCTGGAAATACCACTACAGACATTACTCATTTAATAACCTACCTGTTTAATGACTGTTTGGACTTATGACCCATGTTTGCACTTATGACACAGGAATGTGGGCAGCAGTGTAGTCTTATGGTGGCTTCTTCTACAGGATAGTACTGTAATTTTTGCTGATTATACTGTATGGTACAGTACTGTAGCTTTATGTCTTCTTATACATTACAGTAGTGCACTAAGAGCTATGCACATAAAAGCAGAGTTATCAAAGCTGGAGTTTCCTTGGACTATTTCTTTGTTCTGAATACCGTAATACACATACTATATACAGTTTCTGATTTAGCAACGAATCCATTTAAAGATCCAGTCAATGGACCCTACCTCAGTCATTAAATAAGGAACGTCTGTATACATTTTTCTATCTGGTATTTTTTCCACTTGAATAACTTTCTCTCTCTCCCTCTCCCCTACTCCCTTCTTTTTCCAGAACTGGTGATTAACCTAGAGCTTTTGCACTGAGTTATATCCCTTATCCTTGTGTTGCAGTTGTTGATTTTTGCTTGTGTTTTGAGGCAGCATCTTGCTAAGTCACTAAATTGGCCAAGCTGGGATGGAACCTGTGATTCCAACCTGTCCTTCCTCAGTACTTTGGGACTTGTGGTTTGCTGGAATTCTTGGATTGAGATTTTATTATTTTCTTCATGTTTGGGAACTTTTTTACTCTTTTCAAAACATTTTTTTAGCACTTAACAGATATGTTCTATTAGTCTTCCTGGTATTATTCTACAGACTTTTTTGAGACTCAATGATTTTGTCTTTTTATCTTTTAATTTAGATACCTTCTATTGTTACATATTCAAATTTATTGACTTTTAAAATTTGTTTGTGATACATAACAAACACCTTCATGACAGGGTATGATGTATATGCATATCACATGTTGATCCTTGTTCCTTCCCCTTTTCCTCCCTTTTCTCCTGGCCTCTTCTGATCCAGGTCCCCTTTGCATCCCCACAAAGTCTATCAAGTCTGTCCTGTTTCCTATCACCTTTCTTTCATTTTGCTTTTTCTTTATACTTTGGGTTTCTCGTATGAGTGAAGCTGTAAGATCTTCAACCTTCTGTGTCTTATTTTGCTTAGGATTATGGACTCAAGGTACATCCATTTTCCTACAGATGACTTCAATTCATTCTTCTTTGATTTCTTTCTTTGGCAGTATCTAATATGCTGTTAATGCTAATGCAAGTTTTATTTCACATTTTTCATCTGTATAAATTCCATTTAATTCTTTATCTCTTTCTGTGTTTATTATATTTTTATTTTTCTTTAAACCTTGAAGCATACTTACAGCATATTATTGCTTATGTCTAGATGTCCCCCATAGCCTCATGCAGTCGCAGTTGGGTTTTTTTTCAGAGGTGACTGGCTCTAGAGTGTGTAATTACTAAATTAGTCCATGATTGGTTTGGCATAGTTCTGCTGGGATGAAGGATGTGATGTGGGGATTGATTCATGGTGCAGTGCTAGGATTAAGGGTGTGAGTGCTACCTGCCTTAAGAGAAGGTAACCTGGATAAAATACAAGGGAAAGAAAGTGTCTTGTCATTTATCATTGGCCACTTGCTTGTTTGGCTACCTTCTGTACAACATGAACTGTTTCTCCTCTGTCAGCCATGACACCCTGCCTTGGAGCCAGCCAATTATGGACTGAAACCTCTGCAAACTGTGAGCTAAATAAACCTTTCCTCCTTTAACTTTAGGTGTCAGGTATTTTGTCTCAGCAATGAAAAAAATAACTAAGACATAAGCATTTACCAGATCTATGTATTACTCCTTCTATTTTTTCAATTCCTCTATCTTTTTCTACTTACTGAGATTTGTTTGTTTGTGTTTTGTAGTTCAGACTGGCCTCGAGCTTACTCTGATCTTCCTGTCTCAGTCTCCTGAGTGCTGAGGTTGCACATGTGTGCCATCACACCTGACTTCCTACTTACTGGTTTTTATCTTGTTTAATTGGCAAATATTTTCTTGATGCTTGGTGTTTCCAGTGCTTTTTGAATAGATAAAAGATACTGTGAATGTTGTAGTGTTTCATGTGTGGATATTTGTCTTTTAATTTCTGCTATATGTTGTTTTAGCAGTCAGCTTAAACTTGTGAATCAAGGATTGCTTTTAAGATTTGGTAGGTTGGATAGAATAGATTCAAGAAATTTAACCTTTTTAGTAACCAGTAAAAAGCTAAGTATTTCCCATCCCTATGTGAATGCAGCTGCTCAGCAGTTCACTTTCCTATTCCACTTTTGTTGGGATTTGTAATATTTTCTGCCTTTCACTCAATTTTCAGTATTCAACACAGTCAAAAAGAACCACATGCAAATTTGTGGAGCTCATTTTCTACATGACTCCTTCCCTTTTGGAACTCTGCTTCATAATTTTGAAATACCTTTATTGCCTAACTGCTGATCTCTGATTCCTCCATTTTTCACTAATGCTTGACAATGATCACCTTGCTGTATGATGAAGAATATTCCTCCAGTTAGAAATCCCTGCAAGTTTTGTAGCAGAGCATCTTTAAATCAGAAAACCTTATTGCCTTACTTCTTGAAAACTTAACTTTTTTACAATAACCACTGAAAACATATCACAATAATATATTTTTATTAACATTTATTGGGGTGTCTCCCAGGGGGCTATGGAGAAAATTGGGGCCTCTCACTAATGAACATAGGCTAGGATATAATTTTTCCCAGGCAGCTGCTCCTTTGTTCACCAAAGGGAGCCCTGACCAATGATTCCCCAAGCCTAGAGGGTCCCCATTTAGTTACCTTACGAATTCTGATAACCTATGAGGAAACCAATTTTGACATCATTTTGACCACCTGGCAACCCAAGTGAAAGCATGCTTTTTAAATCTGTAACCCAAATTAAATTATAAACAAAATAATACAAAAATGTGAAAGAGAAGGGAAACAAAAAAATTGTTGAGCTCAAATTAAAAACACCTGTTCACATATTGGACAAACAGACAAATACCCAGACGATATTCTTATGAATTTAGAGTGCACTCAAATATATTTTTGGCCAAATTGAATTATAATACCTCTTTTCACAATTTTAGAAGTTTGTAAATATAAATAAAGTAGTCAGAATTTTTTGTAGGTCAATTAGCAGAGATCTCTTACAAGAACAATTTGGAAGGAACAAAATCATTTATCTATAAATAATATTTATTTTTTGTATTTTATTTTGTCTTAAAATACTGGCAATTTTTGCTTCCTTTTCTTTCATGTAGCTTTCATCCCAATTATCTCCATACACTTTGTCACCTACTCAGACCTTCGATTTCATTTTTTGGTTATCACCTCCTCAGCATCCTGAATCAATTTCTTTAACTGACCCCCAGGTCAGGTCTATCTCCATCCATGTCTCTCAGTTGAGGTATGGTCTTCCAGGCATCACTGCCACAGGACTGAGCATCAGCTTCTTGAGAGGTGGAACCAACTCCTTCCCCCAGTCTGGGTCCATGATACA